GTCCTTTTTTTCCAGTCAAGACAGAATGTATGAATTTATTACAAGAAAAGCGTGTGCAAATGAACTTCCTGTAATTAGGCCATTCTGACCTGTGTAGAACCACACTTTGTTTGAAATTTATAAAAATTATAACTAGTACAAAACATTGTGGTTGATGTCTCTATATGAAGTAACAATGAGCTTTCTTTCTATTAAAAATAGATGAGTGTCAGTAAAGGCACATCATCACAGCTGAAAAAAATCCACATACCCATCCAATATAACTTGATTTGTCCAACACACGTGTCACAAAAGGCACAGTAATTTTTTCCTTTATCCATCTCCCTTAGTCATGTTCCTGAATCCCTGGGACTGTTTGGAGCGTGTGAAGGTTCACACAGGCAGTTAGGAGTTGCAAATGCTAATGCTGCAGCCATAAGGCCAGGAAGTTGTAGGGTAACTTTATTGTAGTTATCCCCGAGAATCTGCAAACCTTTGGCTGCCAGTGGTTTGTTAGGGAGCGCTAGTTGACCCAAATGCATGTTGTGGATCATGTAGAAGGGCAAGCAGGTGAAAACGAGAATGTAGAAATGTGATGCAAATAGAGAGAGCAACATGAATTGGAACTACTTTCAGTCAATATCCAGATTTCTGGGGGCAAACTTCGCCTCACTTCAGTTTTCAAGCCATTGGCCTTATGTGTCAGTGCAGTGCAATATTGGTATGAGAAAACGAAGAATTTAGGACGGCACCAGATCCCAGGTGGGTGTTGCTTTGCTCCCCCCACACCAAGCAGGGCCCGTGGCAAAGGCCCAGGGCTGGAAATCCAGCCGCACACGTGAGCAGGCGTAACGCTCTCCCGTAGCAGATCTCTGGTGCGTGGCTACACGTGCCGGGACCTGCCTGTGCAGCTCCCGTCCCAGCTTGGCCCGGTTCGCAGGAGGTGCTACACGGGACATAGGTGGGGCCTGGCTGTTTGCTGAGGAGTGTGTTTGGATGCAACACTAACGGCGAGCCACCCCCGCTGATCCACCTTCGGCAAGCTCAGTCCTTGGAGCAGGACTGACCCAGCCAGCAAAGGCTGCTGACGGTCCCCAACTGGAACCAGAGCCCATCTAGGGCTTGGTCAGCCCTGTGGCTCCGCAGGGATGGCTCAAGGTCACACCTCTGTTCTGTGCCTTAACATAAAAGAAAGTTTGGCCCTAAAGAAAGTGCTTTTTTAAAGAACACAGAGAAAGTGCTGATTTACATGTTGTAACCCTCCACAGGGGTACAGCTGCAGTCTGCACCATGTTACCAAAACTGGAGAGACGCGTGAAGCTTTACGTGGCTTTGCAGAGCCGCAAGTCTCAGCTGCTGAGTGAGAGCCAGTCCTCCCCCCAGTTAGCCCAGCAGTCCTTCTTGTTTTCACTTTCTTTCCTAACCATCATTTATTTCCTTCTGCGGTAATTTACAGACGAGAAGCACCAGTCTCTCCCTCTCTCCACCTCCTTTCCAGCCATGTGACTGAGCACTCCCTGCATGAAACTTTTCAGTCCCCGGGAAACCTTGATTTACTTTCCACCCGCTCCACGGTGAGAAGCAGCGTCTCTCAAACCTGCAGCTGTGCTGGCCATGGAGAGGAGCACACGGCAGCTCGTCTTGCTAACCTTCGCCTGTGGTGAGTAACATCCTCCATCATTTCTATCAGAAAAAAATGATGCAGTCTATCCTAGTTTTGTTTCCTTGCAGTCAGGACAGCACCTAACAGACTGAAAACTTTAAATAGTTTTGTTGCTAGCACTAAGGGTGCTTTTAGTAAAGTCCCACTGCTAACAAATAACAATAACTGCGTTTAATGACAGCTGGCATAGACTTAGTCTGATGTTTTCCCGTGTATTTTCCCTTGCACTCTGTGGTGACATAAACTCTGTGCGACGGAGTCAGCTCAAAATAGTATTAGAAGCAGGCTTTTTGGGGCTTGCTTTTCTTAATTAAAAATAGTTTCCAGACCAGCAGAACTGACAGTCTTGAGCGAGACGAGCAGAAGAAAAACTAAGGAAGTGCTGCTCGAGTCATTCATTTGTCTGCATTGCAAGATGCAGAGGATGCTCAGGAAAGCAAGAGTGAGGCAGGGGGCTTGCAGAAGGCAGGCTGGGGCTTACCCCAACGACAAACTCAATCCTTAGTGCCGCTCTGTGAAAATCTGTGGAGCTGGCCTGGCCAAGGACATGTCCCAGCACAGTACGTCGTCCCTCAACGCCCGCAGCAGTACAAAACCTGCCAGGTGAAGGACAGAGCGTGATGTAACCTGCGTGATGGCTAAAGGCTTGAGCTCGCTGCTGGGGCCCTGGGTTTCTGCAGTGTGCTTTGCCATCGGCACCCAGGGATCACACAAGGAACAACACCTGTCCCCCTCCCAGTGCAGCGAGCAGCAAAACAGCTCAGGGACTCGACCACAAGCAGCATCCATTGTATCTGCTCTGCTTCCCCACACCTGCTTCATAGCCAGAGTCTGCTGAAGTACCCCAAAATGTATACACGAAAGGAGAGCAAGATCAGACTGAGAGAAATAACACTTACAACTCAGTGGTCAGCACGAATCTTTTTGACCAGAAAGAACTTGTTTCCTCAGCTCCTTATCCATTTTTGATCATTCCTTTAGTAATCTGTTCTGATGTTTTATTAATGCCATAAAGTTGAGACTTTCTGTGCAGATAGGGAATTAAACATAATTAGAGTTTAAGGGGTAAAGGTCTGATGGGTTGGAGGTTTAAGAAACTGCTCCTATGTTGGAGGGAAACTACAACAGTACTGAAACCTCTTAGAAAATCTTGGTGCTTTTCCAGTTCCTCAAGGACTCAAACCAAAGCAGCCAGGGCTGGTGAGAATGTTTTCAGCTATTGTAGGAGCTGGGTCAGGTTTTTGTGCCTACACAAAATCAGTCAGCTAAACACAAGCATTTCTTCTGGGCAGCATAAAGCAGAACAAACCTGCTGGGTGGCTGAGCAGCGTGAGTGTGTGGTTAGACGAGAAGGGGGGAAAAACCCTCAGCAAGAGTTTCTTTCACCCACCCCATTACAGGACGGCAGGCTGAGAAATGTCACAGCCAGATCATGGCACTAAGCACTTAACTTCCCACCGTATTGCCTAGGAGGAAAGCAAAGCAGTGACATCCCTTTGCTGGCATTGACTGAAACTTGTCACCAAAGCACGAAAACAGGGGCTCCAGGCCCAGACTGGGAACAGCAAATTTCTGAGAGCTGCCCTGATCCTTTTCTGAGAGTTTTGTTCTGGAGCGCTGCATGCATGGAGCCTTGCTGGGCAGAAACGTGCAGCCCTCGGCACTTGTAACGCACAACTTTGAAGCTGAGGTGAGACGAGGGGGTTGCAGCTGCTTGCTCCAGGAAGAAACACGGCAAGGAGCACACATCCCTTGAGCAAAATGTTGGTTGTGTGAAGTTGTGAGCAGGATTCACAGAGGAAAAAAAAAAAAAAGGAGACTAACAGGTGGATGCAGGGCTGCAATCCTTCATTGTCCTGTGGCCCCTTTTGCCGGCAGAGCCGTGACAAGGGCTGCGGTGGGGGGAGCTGTGCAGACGGCTCCTTGGCTGAGCTGTGCCAGGCCCCCCGAGAGGCAGCGCCGCCATGCTGAGGGAGCCACGGTGAAGCCTTCCAGGCCTCAGTTGGAGAGTAAGTCGGGCACCCCGTGGGCCCGCCTGCCCCTTCGCACAGCAGAGCCACCGAAGGAGAGCCAAGACCACCAGGTGCACCCAGAAAGCAATCCTCACCCATCCCTAGCTGCTCATGGGGCCAAATGCCTTTTGAGAAGACGACCCAAGACAATGGGTTTTTCCACGTGTCCGTGCACCAACAGAAGCTCCAAAGTCCTTGGGAGAGCCATGGGAGGCTGGAGGAGCGGTCTGGTGGGCACAAGCCATGGGCCACCCCAAAGACATTTCTGACTTTACCTCTCAGTGACCCTGCTAGGCTGAATGTTTCTCTAATGAAAAATTTAGGTTGAAATGACCTTTTGGGTCAAAGGTTCCCACCTTTGGGGAAAAAAAAGTTTCATTTAAAAGCTATGGATGGCATCCAAATGTCGGTGAAATAATGTTTCTCTTCATGTCTGTGAGATAAGTGCTACCTGGTCAGTAATCGAAACCAATCTGTTAACTGAAAACTAAGAAGTAATGACTGTTTTAGACTTGTGCGAACTTGAATATGGGCTGTTTCGCAGTCTTATAGGGCGAACATAGAGTGAAAGTTGCAACTTCTTCTTTTTTTGTTTCTATCGTGCCAATACATTTAGACGCAACTACCTATAGCTGCTATTTGGCAGCTGCTGCTCTGATTTTCCACTGGCACACAGAGAGGGAGATGACTTATCTGCTTTTCAGCTCTGCCAGCAGGTGTGGTAAAGTCTGGGGGAAAGTGAGAAAATGAACTAAAGTATCATATTAATTACGGCATGTTTAGGTTCCTTCTGATAAAATTCACAATAAGAGGGATCTCTCCTGTCATTTTTGTGGCTTTTCATCTGTATCAAGCTGCACTTCTTTGATAACAGCTACGCTGGCAGTCAAGTATATTCTGTACAGCACAGAGGTGAAACCCTGGCAATTTTAGGAATATGGAGTATACATCTACACTTCTGCTCTTCTCTAGCATAGCCATTTTCAAGGGAAAATTGTGGTTTGGGTTCAGATCTACACGTCTGTTCTCATTTCTTTGGCTTTGATCTTAGATTTCATTGAAAATCAAGTAGGTTTTATCATTCTTATTTAGTTTATATGTATCCTAAAATGGTGAGATTTTGTGAATTCAGCTATTGCTGCAGATCCCTGTCCATGCTGAGTGGAAAAAAATAAATAGAAGGAAGAAGAGCTTGTGAGATTTTAGCCATTTCCACTCTGAAAGTGCCTCCGGCATTAATCAATTCTAAAATCTGAATCTCAGCAACCTTCCTGCTGCAAACCTTTGACACCAATTCATGAGGCATTTCTTTGGAAGAACCAACGTACAATGAGCCTCTCAGACAACGCGTTGTGGCATCCTCTGTGGAGCTGTACTGCTAGGAATGTGAGCTGTCTTGGACTTTTGTGCCCCTTCTGTCTCCAAACCAGAGAATTCATCTCTGTCCTCCAGCTAATTTAGGCAGTAAAGCCTTTAACTACACCTGAAGCTTCATGCACATCAAGGAATTCATATGTCAGTGATCTACAATTTCTTTTAGCCTGACCTTGTCTTTACACAGTCTTGTTGCGTACTCACAGTCGAAGACTCAAGCAGAAGAGTTGTGACCTTATCTATTCTACAACGTACTTCCCCCACTTCTTCCCTTCATTATTTACATTTAGGAGCCAGATATTTTCTTTTCAGTTCTGCAAGGGACGTGTTTCTGTACATGTTATAAGATGAAGCATAATTTTGGTGCTGTGACTAATTTCAGATGTGGTCCAAAACACCCCTGGACGCTGTACCCGGAAATTTGTTTCTCATTGCTGAAAGCTCATCACTAAGCAGGGCTAATCCTTCCTTGTTTGGAGCATCCCCTTGGGTTTCTCCCAGGAGGAAGAACTTCAAGGTTCAAGCCAGCATGACTACAACAAAACCATAAAAAAATATCTGGAATTTCCCTGTTTCCCAGACTGGTTTCCCAGACTATTGTGAATTGCTGTAAGACCATTATGCTGCCCCACTTCCCTCACACACACAAAATGTTCCCTTTCCCCATGCTTTGTTGGTAAGTAGCCAACCACCCCTTCGCCTGCTACATCTTCCTTAGCAGCTGTACTGCTGCCTGCGAGGGAATTGTGCTGCCTGGGGGTTGTGCAAGGTCTACTCGTGCCTCCAGCATCCTCTGGCTTCTGCGGCAGTAAAAGCAGCGTGTGGGGAGCTGGGAGCCAATGTGCTTCCACTGCAACAGGTATAGTCAGAGGTGTGAAGGTTGGGGGAGTGGTGAAAAGTTACGGGTAGTCCTACAGCACATCTGCTTTCCCTCTCCTATTGTGGCTGGAGCCAAATGACAAATAAAATCAAATCACCCATTTGATAACCAAATCAGCTCAGTTATGTTGTAAGTATCAACAGAAATGTGAAATGTAAAGGTTTCTAGACTGCTGACTTATTGTTTCTTTGCAGGATTTTCCTCCTGCTTTGCTGGAGTGGCCCTGGGGGTTGAACTGTCTCCAGAAACCACATCCTTCCACCACACGGCTACTTCTGCTCAGCCATTTTCCCTTTATCATTCTTCACCCCATCAAGGCACCACAGGTCACTTTAACAGCACAGGCTCTCTTGAAACAACATCCACAAGCCACAGAACAGCTGTGCAGACAACAGACCAGCACCAGGTAACAACGGCAGCAGGCCATCACACGACAGCCCAGGCAGGAGCAACCACCATGCAAGTGACTGGCCAGAAGTCTCCCACGGTGGTACCCACACCATCAGCAGGCAGCACAACTGCAGCTGGTCAGGCTACAACCCAGGCAATGGAAACAGTTACACGTGCAGTGAAGAACACAACCGTACACCCTATGTCCTCAACCAAGCAAGCCAGAACGCACACGAGCACAGAAGTGACCGCAGCAGCCACAAACACAACCGTAAATCACACAACACCGAACACACGAATGACAGCTGCCACCGTAACTACTACAGCCACCACCAAGCAGACTGTAAAGCCCATCACAGGGTCAGGAAATCAAACAACAGCGCCTAAAGGTCCAACAGCCACAGCCGTGACCAACGCAACAACCATTCATCCAGGGACCCAAACAACCACTCCATCTGCTACGACGACCATGAGACCCACTCTCGCACCGCGGCCTGCTCCCATCCCCACTGGCACATACACCGTTTCCGATGGGAACAGGACCTGCATCAAAGCGGTCATGGGTTTGCAACTGATGGCTCAAAATACACAGAAGGTGAGGTAGAAGGGCTCAAGGCTGAGCTTTGTAACAGCTGCTTCTTCATCAGCTGGAATTTATCCTTCGTCTTTCAAAGCAGTTTTCAGAAGTTAGCTGGTGTGATAAAAGTGGTTTGCTGCCCATCTAAGGCCTTTTCTGTGCCACAGCGTCTCAGCTGCTGTACTTTGGCTTGTATGATGATGTCAGTGGGAGGTATGGGTGCTTTCTTATTTCAGTGATGTGCGTGTGGTAGCAATACTGGGGCGGTAGATCAGCCTTCAGCGTTATTTGTGTTTCCCAGACTAGTTAAAATCTCCATTGACTTCAGCAAAGGGCTTGACGTTGCGAGTTGCAACGAAAGCAAGAAATTGTCCATTTACAGACTTGGATTCCGAGGTGGGCTGTCTTGATGCTGATGCATGGAGATTTTAGGATCACGGGAACTGCCAGGCTGGATCAGAGCTGGGGTCCTGGGGAACTCATACCTTCTCCTAGCCATGGTCCACTGTGAATGATTCAGCAAAAGATGTCATAAAGCCAGGCAGGGTGCACGATTCCCAACCTCACCAGACCATAGCGAGATGTTTATTACAAAAGTTAGGTGGGCTCGAGATGAGGCTGAAGGAGCCAAACTGTATTCGGGGCTGCAGAGCTCTCCTTTCAGGCTACAACGTGGGTTGGCAGGCGCTAGAGATGAACTGTGTGGGACGTAATGAGCCGGCTGGGGTGATACGAGGACCGACACATGTCGAAGCCAGTCTAACCCCTGCCTGCCTCTGTTTTGGTCTTTCCTCTGCCTTCAGGCACAAGTTCCCACTGCTCACTCTCTAAAATTACCACTGGTGCTCATTTGGCCCTGCTCTGAATCACACCAGTTCACTGAATGAGCAGAAAACTATTATTTTCTGCCAGGTTAACGCACTGGAACAGCTCGGTGGTGTCAGACAAGCACTAGTGCTGGTTTATGAGTGGGGAACGACCCTGGCACGCAGCAGTTAGGCTGCCACCACCACTGGCTTGTTCATTGAGCCACATAGAGCCTGTCTGGGAAAAAAAAAAAAAGAAAATCAGCTATAAATCTCTGTGTGTTTCTTATTCAGTTTCCCCACTCCTCTTCATCAGCAGCCCTGCACTGTCTCTTCTCTCCACAGAAGCGGATGGAGTACATGGCTGTCAACCCCAACACGACAAAGACATCTGGAAGCTGTGGGACGGTGCAGTCTAAGCTGAACATAACTTTCAGTGGAGGGTTTATAAACATCACCTTTGTAAAGGTAATTGTTGCATTCAGGGGGAAGGAGAGTTTAGGATTGAGGAGCTGGAACTTAGGCTGCCTTCGATCCAGCTTATGCCGTGGGAAAAGGGATGTCATCCATCTCGATGCTAGTTTTCCACCTGTGTATAAGGCACTATTACTCCTGTCCCTCCCAAGAGGCTAGAATCATAGAACCATGGATCAATTCAGGTTGGAAAAGACCTTTGAAGGCCACCTGGTCCAACCCCCTGCTCAGACAAGGGCTAACTTGAACGTTAAATCAGGTCTGGTCTGTTTGAACTTTCCATCTGGAAAGGTTCGTATGTGCAATGAGGGGTAAGCACAGAGCCTTGCCATCTGACAGAAAGTGCTAGAGAACGGGGTTAATGCTACCCATCCAGCAGCACAAAGTCTAGAAACAGCCATGAGCAAAATCTGCGTCTTGTTTTTACGCAGGTAAAAATCTAGTGGGAGGGAAGGCCGGGTCTGCTGTTTGCGTTGGAGCGGGACGGAGGGAAGGGGCGTGGGACTGGAGTCCCTGCGCAGGAACAAGGTGTGTGTGCCGGGAGCTCTGACTCATGCTATCAAGTTGCTCTTATGAAATGGTGTCTCGGGGACCACCTGAAGGCAGGGGAGGTTAGTCATCTGCTTCCCATAAATGCTAAGTTTCACAACGGCCCAGCCAACGCCAGCTGTGGTTGCTAAATCCAAAGGGCAGCCTGTGCAGTTGTAAGTGCCCAGGAGCCACGGCCCGTCCACAGCTGAAGGGGCCGAATTTCATCTGATTTCTGAGTGGGAAATTTCAAACAAGCAAACGACAACAACCAAACTGTAGCTAAGTGCCCTTAAAATGCGCCACACAAGGGAGACTTATAAGTACACACAGAAACTTGGGCAAGAGAGAAGCCCTTCTTACATAGTGGGAAAATAAGCTTTCTTTCTGACATAGTGTCTTTTGATACCACATTCCCCACTGGGACATGTGGATGAGGTTTCAACGTAAGCTGGCAAGAGTGCTGCTGCTATTATAACCACGGGAGAAAACGATGGTGGTTATAACAGCAGCCATCCTCTTGCTTCCTTGGACATTTACGTGGTGTACATATTTTGGGAGGCAGCACACAGTACTGTTCATCTGAGAGCTAATAAGGGCTGGGTGGTGCTGCCAGCAGGCCTAAAGACAGAAGTTAATCCTGTGTATAAAGTCATTAATGGGCAGGGAGGAAAACGGCACAGGTTGGATCCCATCAAGCTCTGACTGAGGGTAAGATGTATTAAGGCCATGTCCTGGAGCTCCACAGCAGTTCAGAGCTGCAGCTGGCCATCGCTGCTGAGCTGTTTCCTTCAATTAATCAAGCCAAAATGTCAATCTTACAGCCTGCTTCCAAGCTCAAATTAGTGACAGTTAAGAAAAGTACAAATGGTTAATCAGTCATTTCCATAGAAAGTCCAAGAGGCAACGGCAAACTATATTGCACCTGAGTCATTAACGCTTGAGCAGAGAAAAGGTTTCAATGAACAATCCTCTTGGTTTTAGTTTATGGCAGAAAGCTTTGTAAAAGCTGCAGAGGGAAAGTGAGGTAAAAAATCAAGGAGTTGTTTTAAAACAAAGGATCAGTTCAGACCGTGAGTGTTTGCTTTAAATGTGTGCTTCCTGCAACAAGGGGAGCATTTTCTGTGTTACAAGGATCCTCAGAAAAAGTCTGGTGATTCAAGTGCCCATGAAAGCCCCAGCTTGTAGCAGTGCTAAGAAGGGTGATGTGAACCTTGAGGAGGTACTTGACCTGTCTTGCCCTGAAAAAGGCAGTTATTGGCACAGCATTAGACAATCTGCCTTTCATTTAATGATAAGCCTCAAGAGCGTAGCAGGGCTCGGCTTAGACTTCTTTGAAAATTAAGATAATGAAAAATCATTTTGCTGCTGTTTTTTGTGTTTGGCCCCCACAGCCTCTTTAACTGCTTTGAACCAGGAGTGCTCCCATGGCGGCACTTCAGATTTTTACCAGTGAAAGAGGCACTGGATCAGGCCCCGGGGCTGTGGTGCTGGTGCGGGGCAGCGGGAGGTGAGCGGCTGGCTCAGTACTCACCACTCCCAGCTGCCTTGTGCAGAGAACTTGAAAAAAGGAAGTTTTGTAACCAACCCACAAGACATGAAATAGGAGCAGGTGTTTTCCTCATGCAAAGTTATTAACTGTGGCCAAACAGAACATAGCACTGCCACTGAACAAATGGTAATATTTGATCTATTTCTGTATTTAGGTAGGAATAATGCTGAGAACCTCTTCTCTGGTGTATTTCTTTCTCAAACTTTCCTAATCTGTCCTACCAGCTTTTAAACTGCATAACATTAAAACTGGGTGCACAGGAGGCATTTGTGATGGCTGCCTTTTATCCACCAGCTGCCCTCACCGGTCCCTGGGTGCTGGAATCAAAAAGGATAGCAGGGCCGCTACATCAAGACTCACATTATACTCCAACACTGCTACCAGGGAAAAGCTCCTGGGGCTGGGTCTCACTTTGTGACAGTCAGGGGAGGACAGCGTTCAGGTTGCACCAGGGTTTTAGGACACACGTGGGCAGGACGCTTACCTGGAAAGTTTGCTCTGTGCTGTTGTACCAGGTGCCTTCTCTGTCAGCAGTCTGTGGGCATACGGAAAAAAGCCACCCAGCCCCAAGAGTGTCAGCAGGGTGGAAAGAACAGTTATTTCCCCCGTGCGCATCCAGGCTGCTGTTTCCTTGTTTGTAGCGGCTGCTGCTGGCAGAGAAAATAGGAAATGAGCGGTACTAGCATGAGGTGAAGTCCCAGCTCTGGGCTTGTTGCTGACCTCTCCCAGTTCAAAACGACGGCGATCACAGCAGCACTGCTGCTTTCTGCCGTTTGCTGACGCGACAGGCATCTATGGATAAAGCTCACTGCAGTGCTGGGAGTCCCAAGTACTTCCCAAGGCACGGGCTTAGGTCCTGCAAGCAGTCAGACTGCAGGCCAGCACGGATTAACTCAGTGCAGGATTACTCAGGAGAGCACTGTAGGGACTCTCAGTGAAAGCAGAACAGGTGAATAAAAATGGCCTCATCACATCCCCGTTAATTTGTGCAATGTGTACTATTCACTTAACTCTCTCCTACTTTCGGTTACCACAAGCATCACCCAAATATCTAGCTTGAGCAGTGTGTGTGAAGTGACACCTGCAAGGTGGAGTTTCACTGAGGCTGCTGCATTACACCAGCTTGTTAGCTATTAGATGGAGTGATTTGGAAAAGAAAAAGCAATACAGCCAAGCAAGCTGGTTCTTGGGTCTTGAAGACAATGCTTTAAAATGTGTTTTATGGGGACATCCTTTATGACCGTTTTGCTGTGGTGAACTGTACTTTTTTCACAAATATGAGGACGTATGGTGAATAAAGGTGTCTCTTCTTCTGCAGCAAGCTCCAACGTACTATGTCAGTAAAATTGAGACCAGATTGCAGTTATCTTCTGAAGGTCAGTGATTTTACACTGTCTTAATTTCATATCAAATTGTTCTGGGTGTGGGATAGGTTTTCATATCTTTAAAACATTATATCTTGAAAATCATGTGTTTTATCAGGCTTTTAACATGTCATTCACATCAATCTTATGGTATGAAAATGGAAGAGAAGGGACTGGGCTGCAGGTTCATCAGAACTGTTCAATTTTCCTTTTGTCCTCAAAAATGTTCCCTGCCCCACCTCTTTCAGAGCAGAGATTACTTCAAACAGTCCTAAAAGCTTTTGTCTGCAAACACACAGAAATGCAGTGACTCCAGTTCAGTTGCATGCGTCTTTCCAATCTAATAAGCGAACTAAATGAAGACAGTATCTGGATCACACAACTGTGGAGCTGGATCCAGATTTCAAATACACCAACATGGAGAGGAGGCGTGCCTGACGCTTTGGTTTGGCAAAAATAAGAACTGGACTCAGGCTGAGGTTCTTCAAACCATCCTGAAATCCTTGACCTTGTCTGTGCTCTTCTCAGGCAATCGGATCTTTTTTTTCTTATACAGCCCTGAGTCTCGCCATTTGAACAATCAGGAGCTGCCCCAGATGCTACGTCCAAAGAAATGCTGAGATCTTTTAGGTCAGAGAAAAATTTCGAGCCATCACTTCAGATTTTCTCTGACATTAATTTTGCACAAATTCCTCCCAATATATCAAATCTGTGACAGGTTAACGCCCATATTAAGTCACTTCTCCTTTTGTTACTCCTAAGTATTTGGATTGATTTTTATCCCTGGAAGAAGAAAAACAAATCAGGAACTTGACCAGGTGTGTCCTAATAGCACTGAGCTTTTTGGAAGGTCGGTGCCTATTTTTCTTCTCACTGACAAGCACTTTTATTAACTCGGGTGGAGCCCATTCTGATCGACAGCAATTAAAGTAAAAGAAAAGCTGATCCAGAGGACTTGTCTCCTAGGGATGTTCTCAGTCTAAACGTCCAGTTTTCCTGTGCCTTGCTAAGTGCAACTTGCAGCAAATACAAACTAGTGGGCTTAATGATAAGTTTTAAAGCCCTCAACAGTGGTGCTGACAAGAGACATTGCTGTCCCTGGCTGTTTGTTACTGCCTCTCTGATAGATCACAGTCCACCAGCAGTATTTTTACAGTGAGCAAGCCTGTATCTTTTCTAAGGTAAAAATCACTGAGTTAAGTGTATCAGCACACACTGGTGTACTGCTTTTGACTGAAGAGGATCAGGAGTATGCTGCACACCATTGTGCTGGCAGATGGGGCTGAGATACAGTGATGCAGCGTTGGTGATGTGGATGATTTTGTCTTAAACTGGTATATCTGCTTTCAAAGGAGGATACACATAAAGGATATGGCCAGGTTACAAGATCTTTTCACGCTTGAAACTTGAGCCATATTTTCTGTAAAGTACTGTGACACTGACATACGTTTAAAAACACATTTAATACATAAAGCAATACAGACCAGATAATTCAAACTCCCATGCTAGAGATGGTATCTCTGTTTTGTCTGGGAATAGCCATGCTGGACACTTAAGATAGTTGTCTGCTCCCGCGAGAATCCTAACCCCTCTTGCAGATCCAGATTTGAAGAAGCGTCTGAAATTTTAGCCACTTTTTCAGACCCAAGCTCAGCTGAGTTGCCAATTGAAAAATTAAAGCGCTCACTTAAACATGGAAGAAATGTAACTGATACATTATGGGGACAATGTCCACGCTTTAGTCACATCTGTGGCTGCTGCTCTGCCAAAGCACCGGGGATCCTCCGTGTTACCTTAGGAAGATGCTGATCCCAACAGAGTTAGTGTGGATTCTCATTTGTCTCTCTCTTTACGGCCTCCAGGTATGCTTTACTATGCAACCATACAGGAGGAGCTGTTTACAACAAAGCTGGGGAATTCCTTTAAGTGTGTCAGCAAGCAAACCTTCGGCTTGGAGAAGAACTTCCAGCTAGTCTTTGTTGATATGCAGCTGCAGGCATTTGATATTGTCGGTAACCAGTTTGGAAAAGGTAAGTAGAAGAATACCTCTCCCACCGAGATCTACATGTCAGCACTCTGGCAGCCCGATAGATATAACCTGCTAGATTATAATCATGCACATGCGGTGACCCTGTTACACCTATAGCACAATCACAGCTTTGTGATAGTTCCCAAATAATGTAACCTGCCCCACTGCTGTATTCTTACTTTCTGAGTCATTTTCAACACACCTATGGAAGACGGAGAAGTATCTTTCCCTCTGCATTCTGTACTTTCTGTTTCACCTTCTCTACAGCGACAATTTAACTCTCCACCCATTTTCTCCTGGAGCAAGCGGAGGTGTTCACCATCATTGCATTGCCCAAACCCCTAACACATACAGTTCAGTTCAAGGTCACTGTTCTCGATATAGTCAGATTTTACCTATTTTGAAAGGCTTGATACTCATGATGTCCCACAGCTGCAGCAGCAAAACTGCCAACTAATAAGGGATATTTGTGAATGCAGGATGATACTTTCAAGGCAGCTGTGTCTAGACATGATGAAATGTGGTCCTGAGGAGAAGCACGATTGGCATGCTTCCAGTTTCAGAATTAAATGTGATGCTCAGCTCTGCAATTTGTCTTTGCTTGAGTACTGCCAAAAAAAGGCAACCCTGTAGCTTAGTAAAAGACAGAGACAGACCAGTACTGCCTCCCTGGTTTCTGGATTGCCCCCACTGGGAGAATGTATTTGGGCTCATCACAACTTCTTTCCTACACCCACACCTGGGGTTCCTTCCACAGGGAAATGAGATGTTGTCATCCTTGTTTCTTGTCCAGCGATGCAGCCAGGACCTGGCCAGACTGTGGAGCCCACGGCTGCTGGGTGCACCAGGAAACTCCTGTGTCCCACAGTACGGATGCTCTCAAAGTCTACTGCCTTACTTCTTATGAGACGCATGAAAGATCCTACAAAACGCAGAGGGGTGGACTAGATGGGACCCTGTGGTCTCTTTCAAATTGTACATCTTCACATTTCTGTGACATCCTCGCAGGGTGTTTCCATACAAGAGCTCAGTTGGACAGATAGGCTTATCAGCTCTCCAGCCCTTCAGATGCACTAATAAAACATTCCCTTCTTCTGACATTTGACTTTCTGCATGCTTACAAAATATTGCCCCTGTATTCTTCTTTTTATTTTAGATCTGTCTTTCGAGTCACTTTGGCTCTGTTTGACTGATCCATCTTTTGTTAGTTCACTATTTTGGCTGCCTTTCTTATGCTAAAAGGTATATCATGGGAAACAACACTTGGGGTTTTTTTAAGGCATGGACTTTTTTGTGTACACTTCTCTTTAAGTTCTTAAAAGCCACACTGAGATTCCAATCTATGTTCTCATTCTCATGAAGATTTTTTTTCATGGGATAACACTGAGCTGGAACAACTCACGGCATTCCATCTGGTCCCCACATTCCCACTCGAATTTGTACAATGAGTTCAGTTATGGCTTTTGGTATGGCCTCACTTCTAGCAGAGACAGAGCTTAGAAAGACACGCGCTCTCTCTCTCTCTCTCTCTCCAAGGTCAGGCTAATCTTTGCTAGTCAATACCACATACAAAATTAAATCAGTTTTGCTCTAATCAAAGGGCTGAGAAAGCAGCTACCACCTCTGAAATAATTCCCCAGTGGCCACGAAATAGTTATGAAACCGTTACGTACCTCTACTCTGTATGCAGATTTTGAAACACAAAATCCCCAGTAAAAGAATGACTCTATACACATCACCAGCCTCCTCCCCTTGGGTGTCTCAAGACTGGTAGTTTCACTTCTGTTGCTCCTGATTTGCTTATCTTTAAAAGGGGAAGAAAAAGAAATGATTATTGGTTTCAAGTTCCTTACAATTTTGTACAGGCTGCAGCAGCATTACATCAGTAGCTTGGCCTGTTTGAGTCTGGAAAGTTGTAAAAGTGTCTTCTGAACTGCACTTCAGTATGTCAGAAACAATTCCTAGGGTTTTGTCAAGGCAATGGTGAATTCAAACACCTCTGGCTTTTGCAGCATGCAGATGCAAATACTTTTCAGCTCACTTTCTTAACAGCAGGTTACATTAACCAGACAAAGCTTTTTAAAGGCAGCATCTAGTAGAATGCTGATGCCTTTGGCCTTGTGGCATTGCATCACATGAAATCAGCACTTGGATCAAAGGAGAAGAGGATCAGATCTTGGGGAGAGCTCTGTGGAGGCTCCGGAGCTGTGACATGATGTCACACACTCCACATGCTCCCTGGGCTATCTGCCTGCCATCGGCATAAAGATTCCCACTGGGGAAAAGCCCACGCTAAGCTACAGTCTGTGCCAGCAGAGTCATCGGAATCGGACAATAACAGTGGCTTTTGTCTTAGAGCCCTGTCAAAATCTCCCTTGGAACAGTCACATGGAGTGAAAGGGGCGGAGGGTGTTGGATTTCCCTCATACCCTGGGTAAAAACTGACTCACTGCTGGGCTGGAATATGCTGTGGGGTTCAGCTGATCAAGCTGCCCTACCTAGAGGATAACTTGCTGCTCAGGTGCCACTCAGAGCATCACGCTAGAGATCTTTCTTTCCCTGGAGCCCAAGGAAGGACCATTCCTATAGACCAGATGAAAGATGTAGGTCTGTTCCAGTTCTGGGATAACACATTAGTCATCATTCCCAGACCTTGCCTTCACTCCCAGGGCTAGACTTGTCTTGTGAATTTGAGACTGATCCTGCCATTGTTACCTGGGTAAATATTCCATTTATGTCAGCGACCCAGATGGCACAGTCTCTCCATAGGGAAGCTGCTAATTTACCCCAATCTGGAAGTTAATTTTTAAGTAAGTAATGAGTTTCCATTTAATCAGAGGATGACTTGAATATTCATTTGGGTAGGGACTGGCTGAGGAAGTCAGGATTTGCCCCCTCTGTAGCTAAGAGGTATATTTGGGGTGAATATATCTTTGGATGGTTCTTAAAAGATACTATGTGTGTCAAAATCTTTTCTGATATCATTGTATGCACAATAAAATTGTAATGGCACTGCTAAAGCAACCCCCTGGACTAAGTCCACGGCTTCTGCCTTCCTAATCTTTTGATGTTCTGAGTTAGCCACAATTATCCTCAAGCATTCAGATTAAATGCAGAGAACAATTCAAATTTGATTTTTCTTAGGAAACACTGCCTTAACTAGGATCCTTGCTGCGCTAATGATGTGCCGGACTATGGGCTCCCTTCTCTGGCCTGAGCCTTTTTACTGGGCAGAAGCAATCAGATGCCACGTAGGAGCAGTTTTTGTCCATGCAGGATATATATTGCTTTTTATTTTTAGACTTGCACTTTGTAGTGTGATGCTTCACAGCTGCTATCAGCAAGAAAGCCTCCTGTTGCGTATGTACTGATCTTGACGGTAAAACAATTACTGTGGACATGAAAGAGCAGAGTCATTCTCCAGCAAAGCATGTGGCTATTTTGAAAGGGGCAAATATTGTTTTCTTGAGATAAGATTCACCACAGATAAAAATGTATTAAGTATAGCTCCGGAAAAAAAACCCAATGTTTTGAGAACTTCTGGCTTGTATTTGCTAATTTTTCTGGAATACAGGTCTATAGGAGTACAGTGTTCTGCTGTAACACATTCTCTGATCTCCTTTTACTTTCAGAAGAAGAATGTTTTCGTGACAAAAACAGTAAAGCAGCTCCTGTCGCGGTGGGCCTGAGTATCCTCGGGTTGTTTGTCATTGTGTTTGCCACGTTCCTGATTTCCAGAAGAAAGCCGCACAGAGGATACGAACGTATCTGAAGTGCCCTTGCACTCCCAAATGTGCGTAGCAAGTAGAGAATTCACAGGAGTTTTAGCTTCTCACTGCCCTGAAGCCACATTTTTAAATGGGATGACATCATGGGTTTAAAGCTAATGACTGTTTCTGGAAGCGATTTCTTTAAGGTGGGAAGGAGAGAACTCCCACCATCTACTTTAGGCTATTCTTAGCATCTAATTTAGATGTAGTCCAGAGGACCAAAGTGAGAAGCCCAAGTTCTTTGTATTATCAACAAAGGAGGCAATTCAGACCACCTAAGTCAGATGCCTAAAAATAGCTTAAAGCAAGCAGTATCACTATCCCCCAGAAAATCCATCAGGTTTGTTAAAGACAGAGTTTAGAATTATTAAAATAGGTGAGCCCAGTAATACAACCTTCAGGTGAATAAACCAGAGGTCCACAGCTACAGACAACCCTGTTAAATGAGAGCTCAGTGAAAACCTCGTGGGAGCACTGTGTACGCTCAAGTCTCAGGGCAAGCGTGACTGCCATTCACAAGCAAGTGCTCACCAGTCCTGTAATAGGTTCTTGGTTTTTTCCTACTAAGCCCTTTGCAAGGACACAATGGTAATATGTGACTCTTACTTTGGAGACAGTATTTTTAGAAAATTTTCTGGTTTCCAGTGACTGTGTATGCAAATAAGAGAAGATTACCCAGCTGAGGTCATACAGGGTCTGCCTGACCAGCATGTGCCAAAATCATCACTTGTCGTTGCTTGTCTCAGCCCTGCTGCAAAGATGTCTGAGCTTCTTGCCAACAATTCTTGAACTGCAGCCTCATAAAGCACGGCGCATACAGCAATCTGACGCTGGTAAGTTTATCCTGAAGCGTTATGTGCAACCTGCACAACTCAGGAGCTGATTCTCAGGCAGCTGAGATGTCTGTGCAGCAGAACTGGGCAGGCGTTTGGAGGTGGTAACTCCATCCGTCTGCCAGACCAGGCTGAGCCACCCCACTTGTCAACCGGTGCTCAAGGCACAGCATCCCTTTGCCCCACGTGTGCCACACAACGTGGAGAAAGCTAACGTCAGGGTCTGAAAGCAGTGTGACACATGGGCCGGTGCTAAGGATGCCAGTGCAATAGCTGGGGACTGGGGTGATTTTGCTTGATAAATTCAAAAATCTTAATATTTTGTGGTGGTGTGAGAGCTCATGATTCACCCACTTCCTATTCAGACATGGACGTGTTACAGTGACCACCACTGAACTCAGTACCTGTCCCTCTACTGAGGTGGCAGCACTGTGATCTCAACCCAGGAAGATACCACGCTCACTGAACATGCCAGGGATGAAGTGGCCACAAGTGTGGCAGACCTGCACAAGGTCCATAAGCAAATGGAAATCCACTGACACTGGATGTTCAAGGCTTCTGTGGGAAATAAAAGCTTGCACAGGCCTTGGACAAACTCTCTGCCCAAAAGTGAATGCTATCCAGTGTGCTGAGCAGCTGGATTTTCATATGGAAATAATTTGGAGTTGCTTTAAAGCACACTAATTGTAAATTTCTGCGCTCTGTTTCCTGCAAAACCAATGATGAAGGCATGAAAGTAGTAATTGCTTTTGAGATTAAGTTCAGCTAATGTTCTTTGTTGTAAGAAGGAAAACCTCCTTGTCCAAAAGATTTACAAAGCTAAACATATGCACAAATGTGCACATACACACGTACACATGTGCACACACCACATACAAATCTGCAGCAAATGACATCAAAATTGTAAGAAATTACATATAAAAACATTTACGAAAGAGAAAATAATATTAAAATAAGAGCACATTTCCTGCTTAGGAGGTAGGGTAATGGCTTAAATTCTACCAATAAGGGTTTTGCCTGGAAAAGGACTGTGGAATGGCACCCATTCAACAAAAGAAAGACCAAAATCATCTGCAAAAATTCCTTGTCGTTAGTTTAATCTGGATCTAAACAAAACAGAAGTGCTGAGAGACAATTTAATTTCCATTAATAATGGCCCAAATCCTGAGCAATTATTAATGGTGATGGAACCTCACTGGATTTTCACTGGGTAAAACTGATGATAATATCTTGGGAGTTTAATTTCCCTTAAGTTTTTTAAAAATATTTTTTATATTTTACTAGTACTTAACCATTGAGAGTTTACTTATTTAAATCAGGAAAGGAAAGAAATCCTTCCACCCCATGAATTACTAGAAGATGCTGGTCTGTGTCAAGCAGGAAACATGGTCTTACTGTTCTATAATCAACATAATGTGTAGCTGTGGAAGTAATTAACAGTCCCCAGAAATGTTCGCTTTGAGTCTGAACGAGCCAATACACGAGAAAGACAAAGACAATTTTGAAGCACTTTGGCAGTTGAAGAAACATAAGCCAGAAGTCAGAACCAGCTGTGAGCAAGGGAAGCAGCTGAATATGATCATAAGGTGAAGCAGCACAAGAAACAGAGCACCAAACTTCCCGACCTTTAACACAGATACAGTGTGTTCAGTTCAATACTCAAATTGAAATTTGTGTATTTCAATTACTGTTCTGTAAAAGGCTCCAGCACTGTTCCTACTGCTTAGTCACCTTTATCCAGCTTATTTTCACCCCCCTTCCTTCCCCTCCACCCCCGTTAGTGGACAATCAGCCCACTGAACTCAGTGGCATTGTTCAGGCCCTTGGCTTAATAAAGTCCCTCTAGTTCTCTGGGTTAGTTAGTACTATTAACCTGTTGTTTAGAAAGCAGATTGTTATATTTGATTACAGCATTCACTTTTCTTAAAATAAGAGAATTGATGAGATGTCCAGCGGAAAAAGTAAATATATGGAAGAGCTTACATTCGAAGGAGAGCCTATGTATGCAGCCGTGATGTTACTGTCCCTGAGCGTTACGTGTGCACGTGTTAACCCCAAACGCTGCCTAAAAAGCTCGGCACCGCACATGGTCTGACCCTAAGCCGTTCTGATCAGTGATCACAGACATCTTTCCCATTCAGAACTAAGTCCTAGCTTTGGATTGTTGGCTTGCACGATCTTTATAGTTTGTTGCTTCTGACACGGATATAGCATTTTCTTGTTATGTTCTGTACTGAAAAACCTCTTTATGTTAATATTCAGGTTTTTAATGTTTGATATCAATGTGAGGAGAGAAAACTCTTCTTAATGACTGATAATTCTGTGTTTAATCTTGTGACACCCTCTGGCACTTTTACCGATGATGCAAGGCTATTTTTTTCCCCACGCTTTTTTCTTTCTGCAGTGAATGAAACTGTTGGTATTGAACAATGTCTGGATTCACGTTTACCTGATTTGTTCTTATGCTTTTTATTGCCCTTATTTGTTTGCTATTTTTCTGAAGCTGCATACTGCCCTTTCTAGATGAATAATACCCTGGGCTTGCTCTAAATGGCACAGGTGAAGTGCACGTGGTATAAACTGCTGAAACAATGGGAAGCTCCCATGAAATGCTGCCAATATGCAACAAAATTAATCCAGTGGAGTTAGTGCTTTATGTTAGTAGAGGATCCATTGGAGAATTCCATGCTGCATCAGGAGATCCCAGCCCCTAGGTGCAACCTTCCTCCCATCCGCAGCACAGCCTGCATGCTGTCACCTCCCTCCCTGACCACAAAATGCACAAACAGCCCGCAGCAGGGATCCATGCCAGCACGCCAGCATAGCAGGGAGCGTTGCCTCCCTGAATTTAATGCTGAACTAGAATTAGACGGCCCAGGTGCTCCCTGAGTTGCCATGTGCAGCTTAAATTTGATGCCTGTATTTATTTTCTGACAGAATTATGTAGGTATTTGGCTGGCACTTTTTATCTAATGGAGTTGCTTTGAGGTTCTCCTCCCAGTGGGAAGCCTATAGGTGTAATTGGTCTTGGTTGCCAGAGTTTCTCTTTTAAATATCCTGTCTGAGGAAACATTTTGAGCAAAAAGTCCCTAAAAGAGCACCACACAAAGAAGAGGCTCTTCTGATACGCTAGTTGTACACTAGGTGGGCCGTACCAGTTACAGCATGGGCAGCAGTGCACAGTTTCTTTGCCTCCTGTCGATATGGGTGTAAATGGGAACAGTATTTTCTAAGCCTGGCAGCCCTTTCCCTTCCAGGGCTGCTCTTTGCCATAGTCGGACCTTTGTTCAGCTCCTGCTCACTGCTTGCGACTGGGGTTTACCAACCAACCTGCCCTGAAAATCTGCATGCCAAAACCCTTCACGTAGTCAGCACAAGCGCAGGTACCCCGAGAGCCGAGAGAAGAGCACAGTCTGCTGTGGGAGATGACCAGGTTGCAGCTGGGTCCCAGAATGAGCAGCAGTGTTGGTCTCAGCAGCCTCAGCTCACTTTTCCTCCCAGTTGTGGACTCAGATCAACCTGTCCCTGAACCAGAAGATATTGACCGTGATGCCATGATGCATCCCATCGGGGAAGCATAGGCTTAACTTGCTTGCAAGGATGTGCTGGTCAGGATACTGCAGGGCCACCGGTAGAAATTAGGAGGTGAGCACATCCCTATAGCTCCCTGATGCTCTGATGCAGCTCTCACCCCAGACCATGGTCTCTTGCACACCCAAGGTAGACAAAACGGCATCCCATGAGCATGATGATGTCTTGTTTAGCCAAATCGCCGAGGAGTTTATAAAGCAAGATTTAATTTCATTCAGTCGTTTTTGCTCTCTGAGGGACAAAGTCCAAATTAAAAAACAGTGGTTAATTCTGGTTGGAAGAGGAAGGGAGGTGTAGATAAGCAGGAGTAGGAAGATGGTTTGGCTGATCACTTCTAGCTTGCTATAATGTATGGTTGCTAAAAATAATTTGCTATGAGAAGTAAGATATGCTGTTTATTTTTCTATTACTGGTGTTTCTATAATAAAGGTTATATTTAGTCATTATAAGTGTGCCTTGCTGTACCATTATTTTCTCTCTTGTGTGCTGTTTCACCTAAACTGTTTAAAGTACGCGTACAGTCTAACAAACAGGCAGGGTCCTACGGGCTCTGGGCACAAGCCAGAGACACAGATGTG